GCTGGGATTTATATATTCCTTGCATATCTTAAGATTAATTTTCTATTAATATTATTTGGTTTAGATTTAAAATGAAATTAAAGTATATTGAGATAAGAATTGATGTAATTTATTTTCTAGTAAAACCATCTCCAATAAAAAAAATACTCGTGTTTATTAAAAAAAAAGTGAGGTGAATTAGGTGTTTTTAAAATTTTTGTCAAAACCCTTTTCTAATGGCATGAAAGCTCTTCTTATAAATAGAAAAATTATGGGTTTTATTCTACTTGTAATATCTAATTATTATTACTTACATATTTAATTAAAAAAATTTTCCCATCTAAAACAATAAAAGAGTGGAAAAGTGGAGCAATAAAATAAAAGAGCTTTAAAATAAGATGAATGAGAGTTTAAGAAAGAAGGACATAAAAAATTTGTAGGACTACTAATTAAGCCTAATCACTTAGCTTATGTTTAGTCCTCAAATAAATCCAGTTAAATGCAAGAAACATAAATCTATACATTTTTTTTCTTTACAACTAAACGTGTTTAAAATTGAAGGGTCAATGTGATCTTTTCACATTTATGACAAATTATAATTAGATCTAAAAAAATTAATTATATTTTTTCAAATTCGCCCAACTTATATTATAATTATATTTTTTTATATTTTATTCTTTTGGTTCTAAATATAAGATATATTTTATAGTGTATAAAATAGAACTTATATTTAGGACCAGAGAGAGTAGTTGTGACTTATAAATTTCCTTTTAAAATTATTGAAACGTTATTATCAAACATGAAAATGAATGAAGAATTTTATATTAAATTTTAGTTCTATAAATATAAAAATTTGGTCCAACTAAAACTTATATTGATCCTCATTGTTCATGCCTTAGGAACTATATATATATAGCATGCTAATTGCTAAATGATGTGTGTGATTCATGTATTACATTTATCTACACACACACATACACGTAGAATAACAATTTATATAAAATATAAAAATTATAACGAGTTATACTATTCATTAATTATAAATAAATAGTGTTGTTCATTTAACAAATCCCAGTCAAATATATTTTATGCTAAAGAAGTAAAAATATGATCGTAGTACCAATAGCAAACACAGAAATCTTAATTTGATATATGATGGAAGAGCTTAAAACAAAATTTAAAAGATCAAATTAGAAAAAAATAATTTTCTTAAAAATATTTTTATTTTCTATTTACAAGGCACCTTTAACATATTTCACCAAAACCAAAAGAAATATTAAATTTTATTAATTTGGTTAACTTTTTAACTTTACTCCCATTCAATTTATTCAATAATAAATAAAACATAAAATCGTGTATTTATATAAAAAATTAATAATTTATATATTGTTTCATTCTTTGTACCTTGTAAAGGAAATCAGAAGAGAAGCAGTTAAGAAGAAGAAATAATTGTAAATTTGCAATGTGAAAAAGTGGTGGCGCGTGGAGAATGAGTGAGCGTGGGAGTCGTGCGGCGTAAAAACGAGAGCCAAAGAAGGTAATCACACATGGGAAATGCCCCCACAATTCCACTAACCGAAAACACCTCACATGCCCTCTCTCCCATCTCTTTCTTTCCTACCCGCCAAGCAAACATTGCATTAGCCCCTGACACGTCAACATTTTCTGTACACGTCACCCCCTCAAGTGGGCCCCCTCAACCCCCAAACGCGATGCCGTTTCCGGGTTAGACTCCACTCTTTTTTTTTTTTTTCTTTGCTGCACATAGATATGAAACAATTTTATTCAAAGGTACTAACAGACACTAAATATAAACATTCTTTCATTAGACATCTGAACTTTTGAGTCTTATTGTGAGAAACTAGCTCATTCCATTAAACCTAATACTTGCTCAGGTCTCTATGTGGGCCCGCCAAATTCTATCCGGATCTTCTAAATTGCGGGCTGGGGCCCAACAAGGATGTTTCCTTTCCACTCCTAGGGAGCAAATTCTTGTGCTTTTAATATAAGGTCACAATTGAAGTCATGTGAAAAAAAGTATAGAAAACGATAAAAATGCAAATATAACATCACAAACTTTTTTTTAGTCTAAGTAAAAATAAAATTTTTTAAGATAGCCTAAAAATGTCATGGCTATTAAGTCAATCAATATTGAGCGTTTAGTAGAAATGTAGACCAAGAAAATAATGTAAAAATATATATGAAATTTTCAAAATGATGCAAGAATATTATAACCATTGAAAAATTCATATATATATTTGGTTATTTTTGTATCATTTTGAAAACTACATATGATTTTTTTATTATTTTGAAAATTTTATATATATTTTTGTACCATTTTCTTAGTTGATAACTTGATATGTTTGTTAAAATGATCAATATTAGTTAACTTAACTGTTATGAAATTTTTAAACCATTTTAAAAATTTTATGTGTACTTTTATATTCAAAAAAAGTTTACAATGTTTGCTGCTTCTAGCAAAATATTTGATGATGATATTTACATCTTAAGAAAATAACTGAGTCCCTTATAAGGGACTCTGGCCAAAAAAAAAAATCTTATAAGGGACTCAAATATCGTTTTTCTTTGTTGAAATAATTTTGCTTTTTTTTTTTTCTTTTGGAAGAGTGGTTTTAAAGAGATAACCGAGTCTTTAGAAATATAAAAATGAATTTCACCATTTTTTCATCTTCAATTGAGAGAATTTATATAACATGAACATGCATTTGATCTGAACGTCATTTTGTTTCATACCAAATGTTTTTTTGTTCCAAAAGAAAAAAGTTGTCTTGTTTTTATACTAAATGTTGATTAAAATTATATGCAAATATTCACAATTTTGAATTTATAATTTGAATATTTTCAGTCACTTAGACAAATGTCTTTCAAACTTGACATTAATTCTTTATCCAATGCATAGTGCTGTAGGATTCTATTCCTACTGATTCTAGAAGAACATGCTTGACTTAAAATTGTCGGTTAAAAAAAAAAAATACTTGACTTAAATTTACAATATCTTGTCATGAAAATGAAATACAATTAAATGAACCTTTGTCGAACCGTCAATTTAATTTAAAGAAAGATAATCAATATTAAAAGCTAGTGATAAACTCTTCTTTCCCCCCTCGTTTTGGATTATGTCATTTTGCCTGTAAGAAGTGACTAATTAAATTCGAGCTGGCTAGATTCGCCCAACATTTAATTTTCCAAGAATAATAATCAGTAAATATTTTTAAAATGTGGTATCATTGGCATTTTTTCCATAAAAAAAAATTAGATAACACAAACTTACCAAATATATATATTACGACTAAATGTATTTGGTTACTTAAAAGAGTTCGAAGCCTAAATTCTCATATACCCTTCATTCACTCATATCACCTCTTAAAATTATCCATTACATAAATAAATAGAGTGCTGTAAATCACATTTCATTATCTATGAACATATCATATGTAAGATATTTTATTATGTTAAGACATAAATTTGTTATGAAAATTTTTACTTAAGAGTGCTATATACCCGCAAGTTGTTTTGAGGTTCAATGTTGATTTAGAAGTTTAAAGACATTGTAATTTTGTCGTTTACTGTTAAAAAAACTAACATTAATTGTTAGAATATTGACATTGGCAATTAATATTTTTAACATTCCAACACTTTTATATTTTTGGGATACTATTGAACCCAAACAAACGGTCGGGTTGCTTAACACTTAAAATTTTTATGATAAATTTGTACTTTAATTCTATTCTATTTAAGTTAAAAATTTAAAACTTGAGTTCTTTTAAAAATGGTTTAAATTATTTATTTACTTTTTGACAAAAAAAAAGCTGGAAATGTTTCTCATTTACAAGTTCAAAACTTTGACATTTTTGGTTAAATTTTACCTACAATAAGATGCATTCTTGGTTCTGCAATGATATTTGATTAGCACAATAAAATAATCTAACACAATCATCATTACAACATATTACAATAAACCACTTCATTTATACTACCTTCGGTTCTAAATATAAGAGTTAGTTGACTAATTTGAGTAGATGAAGAAAATAAGTTAAATTAGTTATTTGTAATAAATAAGTGTTGTCTTTCTTAAAATATCCTTACTAATCAAATTTATTAGTTAGAACTACCATTATTAGCAGGACTATCTTGAGAAAAAATAGATAAATATGAGAGACAAAGTGAATTGATGTCTTATATTTAGGACAACAAAAAAAGTTAAACGAGATCTTATATTAAGGATGGGATAATATTACATAATAAAGTTATGTAATTTGAATTCAGACTTGCATGAATCAATGTATATGCATTTATATAATCTATGAATCAGCATTTAAACAATTACCTTCCATTTTCATCTTTGATATCAGTTCACAATTATTTTCATTGTTTAGATAAAACATAAATTTTCATTTCATGATTCCTTGATGATGGTAAACCAAACAAATGTTTAATAATCATAACTCTATTACATTACGTTTCTTGACACATACGATTTCTGGTTCTTATTATAAGATCCCTTTTGTAAGAATTTTTTTTATCCTTAATACAAGTCATTTGAAGAATTCATTAATCCTTCTTTATCAATTTTGCTCATACAACTACTATTTAAATATATCTTTTTGTTTCTCCCTCTCTTTTTTACACAGTCTCATTAATAAGAGGTAAAGTTAAAATTTTTTATTCATTTAAGACAGACTCAGTGGGTTACTTCTTGTCCTTAGTGTGAATTAGTTGAAAGTTTTCTCTTTATAACAAGTGGAGTATTTCATTGTGTTGACTGTGATTTTACTCTGGCGAAAAATAAAAGGCTGATTTTTTGAACCAAACGGTACTCTTCTTCTTGGATTGAAGTAAGGGATGGTACAAAGAATATATTCAGTTACTCACTAACTAACACGGATCAACCCGCATCTTCCTGTTCAGCTAGTAATCTACTTTGGAAAAAGGAATTGAAACAGTAAATATTTCAATTTCAATTCACGTATTTATATGATTGAGGACACTATCAAACCACAATTGAAATCTATGACTCTTCCATTGCAAAAGTTGATCTCCACATCGAAATCCACTTCCCCTCTCACTCCCTTACCAAACTCCACGCGCCGCCCTCCTCTCCTCCATCGCTGCCGTCACCGTCACATCTCTCTCCTTCTTCTCTTTTTATCCCTGCTCCTCCTCCTCCTCTTCTTCTTCTTCTTTGTGTCTACGTAGTTTCTTTTTTCCATCGAAGAAGAGGGTGAGGATTGAGGGGTATTCTGTCTATGTGTCTCTAGAAGAAGATATGGGCGGAGTTACTTCGTCAATTGCCGCCAAGTTCGCCTTCTTTCCGCCTAACCCTCCTTCTTACACCGTGATCGCTGACAGTGAAGTTGACGGTCGATTATCTATTCCTGAGGTTCCCAGGAAGGACAACGTTGACGTGCTTCAGCTTCGAACTCGTCGAGGCAATGAAATCGTGGCTGTTTATGTCAAGCATCGCAAGCCGACTGGTACTATGCTTTACTCGCATGGGAATGCCGCTGATTTGGGTCAGATGTTCGAGCTCTTTGTCGAATTGAGCAATAGGCTTCGTCTTAATGTGATGGGGTACTTCTCTTTGATGTTGAGTTTTAAGCTCGCTTTCTCTGTCTCAATATCTGACTACCCGTTAGTTTTTACTCTAGATTGGAAGAACTAGGATAATATTTCTTGGGTGATTCGTGGATAGATGCTTCTGAAAAAACCAAGTAGCTTGATTGCTTCGTTTTGAAATTTCACTCTTTAATGATGTCTTGAATATCATACTGTGCTCGAATGGCCTTGGAAAAGCGTACATCCCGTAATTACGCTTGGATTTATCGGTTTCTCCACTTTATTTTTTGGATGACGGGTTCCTCCAGCTTGTAACGTTACTTCCGTGGCTTGAGTTCGAAATAACGTGTTTGATTTCTCTGCTAATGAAAGAAGTAGGGTGAAGGTTTCTAGGATCCTCAGATAAATGATAAACTGGGGCAATATTGTGAAAGATTGAAGTATTTACTGTCTCCGTGTTGCTGGTACAGATAATTACAGAAGCTATGAACTGTGTGAAAGTCAAGGATTACCTCGTCTACTTGAACTTGGGTCTGACATTGGAAGTTCAGTTGCCTTCTTATAAACAGATCGTGGAATCTTACTTGCTAGGAGCGTTGGGCTGCTTCTGTTTAGATAGTGTAACTGTTGGTATTGGCAGATCATTTTGGTTTCCCTTCTCATGAAGTTTGTGCTGTTGGATTAAATGAATATGCAAGGAAAGAGTCTAGCTGGTGCCTCTTTGATTTGCTTATATTTTGCTATGTTATTAACTTCTTGTTTAGATATTTTTTGCTGTTAATGTTAGTGGTTGATGGGTTTATAGGTGCTCTCATTACATGAAATTAACTAGTTGAACATCCTATATTGTTATATGGTATGGAAGATCGAGGTTGTTCATTAATTGTCAAGTGTATTTGTCATTATATTTCTATTATGTTTCACTAAATCTGAAAACAAAGAAATGGATAAATTTGTAAAGGAGATGGGACAAATTTGGACTATGGTTACTAGAGGAGAGATGAAGTTGACAAAAATGACCATTTTAGTGGCGTGCTATTTTAGCAGTATCATGGATAGTTTTGTGTGTGTTTTTATGTTTTAATAGAACATCCTTGCAAGCATTTCTCGTCTCAATTTGGTTTTTGGGATTTAATTTTTTTAGCCCCATAAACCGATAAGTCACATTTAAACAATTGTTTTCAACGGCATTTTAAAGAAGTTCTTTTGAATGGCCAAACCAATCTGCTGAAGAGATGGCTTTTTAGGACTAATTTGATGTGTTAAGCAAAATTTTCCCTTGACAGGCTACTTTGTCACATTAAAATAATCAGTGCATGCCCTTGAAAGCCTGGTTAAATTAGAGCCAATAACAAATTGATATACAATATGTCATTAAGGATAAGTTGGTGCTTTGTTTGTTTCAGCAGAACCCCTTTTTCCTAATCGTTGAGCTTGATGGAACCCACTTTTTTCGGGTAGACTGTATATGTATGTTGAAGTGGCCATTTGAATTTAGTACTTGAACAAGTAAGAAGATACCCCTTGGGGGTATATTTCAATTCAACCGCACACGTTTTCTTTTCTGATGTGACAAATTCAGTGGTCTATCTTGCATGTTAACAGAAAAAAGTGGTTCTGTTTTAAGGCAGGACTGTGAACAAATGGATTATTTTAACGAAAACAGTAAAATTTTAATCTCAAAAATATCTTTCTATGTTGAAAATGCATAATCTGTGACAATTTATCATTGTATGCAATGCGTGATAATAATTACTGCTGTGATCCTCTACATCAAACTATTTAACTATGCTTAAACTTGTATATCAAACCACAGAAAATGATAGGAAAAATGTATGGGTTACTACTTCGTATCCAACTGAGCATGCAACTTCACATGCAGTCATGATTAATAAGTGATTCTGGGTGCCCTGGATACTGCAGGCGCTCATCCTTCAGGGATCTTATTTACTAATCTTGTATTGGATGACATTAGTAATTGACTTACCAAGTACCCAAAACCCCCTCCCTTTCCCTCCTGCGTTTATCCAAACAGGGCCTGAATGCATGTATCATGAGTATATTGACTTTGATCTGTATATTTGTGACATTGCATATTCTTGTCTGTGATATCAATTGTAGGGAGCAACTGCAAAGCTTGCAAATTTTATTCTTGTTTTGCTCATTTTCCATCCTCTTTAAGTCATTTTATTTAGATTTGGAGGACCTAGTTTAATGCTCCAAAATATATATTTGTCTACAATTTCTTTAAATAATAACATTGGGAAGCTTAAATTAGACTAACCTCTTAAAAGTTTTGCTGGATTTCTCATGATACCCCTTTTGCTTTAAAAACTAGAATAAACTTCCAAGTCATGTTCTGTCAGTAAAGTTAACTTTCTATACAATATACATTTTTGCCAAAAATAAAATTACTCGAATGTTTTTACTATCATATTAAGGATAAAATCATAGTCCCATGTTAGAGCTTAACAGCAACTTTTCTGTCTTTATGATCATATTAAAAATAAAATCACAGTCCCGTTATGCAAAAAGTAAACATTTCTCAACAAAAAATACATTGGAGGGCAGTTTTCTGCAAAATATGACAAAATGTCGGGTACCAAAGGTAACTTGTCTAACAAAAGGGGTATTAAGGGTAATTTGGCCAAACTTCAGAGGTTGATTAATTTACTTGGTTGGAAAAGATGTTCTCATGTGGCATCCTTTTATTTCAAATGAGAAATACATTTGGGGATTTACTTTCAAATGCCATTTTTTAGATGTATCATATATTCTGAAGCACCATATAATCACTAGTGCTAATTTTTCCTTCCCTTTAGATTATTTACTACTCTTCATATTGCTATTTCTGCAGTTACGATTACTCTGGCTATGGACAGTCAACAGGAAAGGTAGGTTCCTCAACTTTTCGGTGCCTTTAAAATATACTCCGTATATTAGATCTTTAGACAGAATTATTATCAGTGTTCTTCATGACTATTTAATATACTTTGTTTGAAATTAAACTCTTTTTGCATGTTCTCTTATAAGCCGATTTGTTATGAGTTATAACAGTTTTCTATTCATCCTTTGTTTTTTACATTATTATTTTATCATTTTCTTCCTCATTGTGTCTTCCTTTGATTGGTAAATCCATAATGAAGGCCAAGATGTTAATAATTTGGCAGTTAGGATTCTTATTGGGAACTTAAGATTCTAGTAATTGTGGATTTGATTTGATTAATTTTCATATTAAATATGGTTTCCTATCCCTACTAGGGCTATCCCAGTAATAAGTTTGTATCTATTGACCTGAAAAAAGTGTATCATCTATGGTTGCTATTATTTAGAGATTATATACTAAAATTTCAATCTTTGGAGATTAATTGTCTTTGGCGGTAATATATATGATTCGTTTTCTTGTTTGTCTCTTGTTCCTATTCCCCTGTATTTCTATCTTCATAATGTGTCTTCACTACTCACAGCCCAGTCTGCAGAAGGCTTTTTGTTTCTACCAACTTGAGATTCCCTATTTTCTCAATTATTAAGTCATCATCCTGCAATCTTTGGTTTTGCAGAAATGCGGAAACCTACAAATTTGACTTGGAGGTTTTTTAAAACCTTAAAAGTGTCTCTGGGGCTAGCTGGCCAAGGAAAGCCTGACAGTATAAATAGTCATTTACCTATTGTTGACCTGCCTTGGATTGATTCCTTACTCTTAATTTTAATCAGTGGACAATACCACCACATTCTTGCATTCGGTCAAGAAAGTCATTTGCAGAATGATTCTTTTGCAAAATACATTTTTTAATGTCTATTTGGGATGTTAAGTATTATGTCAGAGCTGTCAGTAACCAAACAAGAGTCGCTGACATTTGCTTTAATACTTTCGTCTTAAAATGAAAGGGACAAAATGCATACTTATATGCTTTAACCCCCTTTATATGATGAGCCTTCGTAATTTTGAGGGTCATCTCATTTGTGGATATTATCTTAATAATCACGAAAACTTTTTTGGGATCTGCAGTGGCTAAGCTGCTTTAATAGAAGCTTCTTTTTCTTCACCATTGACATTTCTTTGGGTTCATAATTAACTCCTTTGGTGGGGGGACAATCTGTGGAAGCTGGATGATAGATCTGTGGTTCTACCCAGTTGTTGCTTTACCATATTTTGATTAAAGGAATATTGTACTGTCTGACTATTGTATTTTCTGTTTATTTTGCAACGACAACAAGAAGCTTGTTTACATTCTTACCTGTAAGTTAACAGCTATCCTTTCTGTTGAAACAGCCGACTGAATATAATACATACGCAGATATTGATGCTGCTTATAAATGCTTAAAAGAGAAATATGGTGTGAAAGATGAACAGTTGATATTGTATGGTCAATCTGTTGGGAGTGGTCCCACAGTTGATCTTGCTTCACGGTTACCTGGGCTGAGAGGTGTTGTCTTGCACAGTCCAATTTTGTCTGGGCTGAGGGTACTGTATCCTGTAAAACGAACATACTGGTTCGATATTTACAAGGTAGACTATTCACGTTGAATATGTTCCAGTCTGTTTTATTCCTAAGATGGGGACTTATGCAATTTGTTTTTCCATTCAGAATATTGACAAAATTGGCATGGTGAACTGTCCTGTTTTGGTTATACATGTAAGTAGCCCTCTCATCCTTGTGCGTGGCAAATAAGTTTTGGTGTTTCTTTTAGATCAACGATTTTTACGTAGCAGGTATCCTTTCAGTTATCAACTAATTGAAACACTAGGTTCCATGCCTTATTAATGTTTAAAGTAAGTTCTGAACTAGAGTCATAGCAGAGCATGCTTAATTGTCCATTAGGTTAGGATGCTGTCCTAGATTTGTTCTTCCAATAATACCATTTGCTGGCTTCTTCCCCATATTATTTTCTCTTCATTTTCCGTGCATATCCTTTTTCTCTCGAGGCTTTGTTATAATTATAAACTAGTGAAGATAACAGTCTTTTGTTTTTATGTTCAGGGGACAACAGATGAAGTTGTGGATTGTTCCCATGGGAAGCAGCTTTGGGAGCTTTGCAAGGAAAAGTATGAACCCTTATGGGTAAGTGGTGGGGGACATTGTAATCTAGAGCTTTACCCAGAATTCATTAAACATCTAAAGAAATTTGTACAGACAATTAGCAATTCTAAATCAGCCGCAAATGGTTCTCAGAAAGATACAGCAGAAAAAACTGAGAATCAAACCAAAGCTTGCAAGGATTCTGAAGGTGGAACTTCAGACACAATTGAATTGGCAGCTGATCTTCCAGAAGCTTCTCGAAACAGTTTAGATAGCAGTCTTGAGAAGTCTAAAATATCAAACAAACCAGAAAAATCTCGAATGAGCACTGACCATGTTGATAGGTTTAGGAGGAAAAAAGGCCTAATTTGGTAGTTTCTTATACAAACCATATCCAGAATAAATTATCTACAAGTAATACTTGGCAGGTATTCTAATTCCCCCGTCCTCGAGGAATCATATACCAATTCTAAATGAATATATCGAGTGAGATTTCAGTGTTATTTTTCTCCCGCTTTAGGTCCATAACCCTGCTGTATGTATGTTAAATGATTGAGTAATGTGTATCTGTATGTTCTGTAATACGAACAGCTGGATCTAAATGCAATTATTAAGTTCAATTTGTTCTGTAAATTTTAAAATTGTCTCATGTATATTTTCAGGAGGATTGAGTATAAAGAAATAGGTACCCCCATTAGGTTCTGCTGAGGGGACATAAGAAATCATCTGCCATTCAATTTGACTTGTTAATGTATTGATGAAATCCTTGGTTAATATTAATCTTCCTTACCTGGTGTGCTCCTAAATGTGAGCAATATCGTATCTTCTACCGAAGTTTGTTTTCTTATTGAATTAGATATGGGGTTTCATACATTACATGGATCTTAGAGCAAATCATACTATTCAAGGTTTATAGATGGTTTATGTTGGCTATTTATCTTCCATTAGCTTCTATAACCAGTTTAGACAGCTGCCTTGGGAAGTCTTAATAAGACAGACCAGAAAATCTCAGATGAGCACTGACCATGATGTTGGTACTTTTAGGGTAAAAGAAGGCTTCATTTGGTGGTCTCATATACAAACCATGTCATAATTTACTTTGTTGTTTACCACGCATTCAATCTACAATCTATCATTTTCTTTTTTCTTTGTAAACATACTGGCTTTTTTCATTCCATGAGGTTTGACAATTAAAAATGTTATAAAGCTTGCCCAATGGAATATTAGGAGCTAAATTTTTGTTTTATTTATGCAAAGTACTTGAATTAATATGCTTGTTAATGGTTTCCGGATTTCTGGCAAAGACGCTGATCTGTTAGCCTAGTAGAGGAAGTATTGAAGATCGGACCAGTTCATAAAATGACCGGGGCAGTAATTCAAGGGTCCAGTTGAAATTGGGATTAGCCCAACATTAGACTGGTCATTATTAAAATAATATTTAAATAAAAATGATCAATTCATAAGTGTATGGAACATTCATGTATAAATTACACATAATCCAGCAAAACAGAGTTATTAAAACATAAATTTGACGGATTATTTTTGTTTTTTTAAACTCAAAATGATGTCATTTCAAGCCTAAAAAGGAAAAAAAATAAAATAAAATCTAACCTAGTCAACCTGTTCAAAATTCTTAATCAAATCAACCTGAATTAAGTTTTATTACCTTGATGGTAGAGTTTCTTAAATCATATTTTAGTGTTATTAGACTCTTGTCATGAGATCTTACTAAACTACCTTCAGTCTTTAATACAGGAACTATATAACTAATTTGCATATACTAAGTAAACAATGAAATTAATTATTTGTAATAAATAGATTTTTATCTTCTCTAAAATACTCCTATTAATTATATGTATTAAAACAACTTCTTAATGAAAACTTTTTAACATGTGCAATCAACATATGAATTACTTAAAATAAATAAATAAATATTAAAAACAAAGTAGAATGAGTTCTGATACTTACACAAGAAGTTGTAGCTTGGGTCTAATGAAAGTTACACCATTTTGGGAGGGAAAAATACTCTCCTACCGAGAGTTATTCCCAGTCTGATTTCTGAATTTACTTGGTTGCTTCATAATTTTCACTGAGACTGGCTCTCCATTTTCAGTTTCACCATTGACTTACAAAGCGGACTACTCATCCATATTATAGTGTGAAAGGTAACAGATGCGCTGATATTGACTGTTCAAGACAATAGAACTAGAAATGTGTCCCTGTGAACATATATACATATGTGTGTGCGTGTGTGAAATTTGTGCATCGTTTTCTTGTACTGTTAGTTTCACATATGTGAGCATAAACTAAGATTCTTTAGGATAGAAAAATAATATACGGATACTCAACCAAAAATGCGTGGAAATAACAACCATTCCAATGCTCTTTCATGTGTTATCGATCAACTTTATTTTCAAATGAAAATTAATTTTTGATCCCTTATAATTTTGATTTGGTTATAACTTGATTCTTAAAATTTAATTCGATTGTAAATTAATGCTTGAACTTTGACTCAATGTAATTCAATCCATATAGTTTTGACCATTTAAAACTTTATTCCCTAATTAACCTTCGTAAAGTGTATAATTTAATTTTTTTAAAAAAATATAAGGACTAGAGTTTGAAATGGTTAAAATTATAGGAACTGAGTTATACTGATTTAAAATTTAAAGATTGAGTTATAAATGAGTAAAACATATAACGATTAAAAGATTAATGTTCTGGTATTATTTGGGAATAACAGTAACATCGTTATTTGTCCCCCTCCCACAAGTGCAGTTTCTTCCTTTTTGTTAATTGATTAAAACAAAATACAGTAATATACCAATGTCACCTAGCAATTGTTGTCTTTTCTCTTGTGTTTCAGCTGATTTTTCGCCATATATATACAACCCTTTCTTTACTATGATCAACTTGGCAAACTATATAATAGAAAGCAACTTTTGGAGACTACAAACAACTGCGTTATAACTGTAAACCACCAAAAGAGTGAAGAAAAATTGTTTTGGGCTGCCAGTAACATGAGCACCATATCAACATTCTATATCCTTTGGCATTATAATCATCATTACTGTTGTACGTTCAAATTGGGAGTCATGGCAAGTCTAAGCTTTAATGGAGTTGTTCGTATTTTAGTCTCACAAACAATTGAATATATATTTATATGAATTATCGAAGATATTTCCTCCCCTCTACCAGAACCAAAGAGACATGGTTGACTCATTAACTTTGTAAGAAATTAAAACATCGTTCTAATTTTGCTTATATTTAAGAATATTGAAAAATATTATATTAAACATCAAGTCTTCTAGTAAACTGTAATAGGGATAATATTTGAAAAAAAATTCATTAATGACCTACCACGTGACTTATATTGCTATCTCGGATTCTAAATATAATATCTAGTTTGTAGTGTTTAGTATAGTAGGTACCAAGAACCCCCCCCCCCCAAGAGACACCCCATATTGAGGACCAAAGGGAGTATACCATGCCTGGAAAGTGGAAACTGCAAATGAGGTTGTGTGTTTAAAAAAGGCAAGCCAGTCTCAACACTCTCAAGGAACACATTGGCATTGAAACAGTACTCCTGCTAAAGTACTACTTTTAGTCTTTAATATAAAAATTAGTTGACTAATTTGAGTAGATTAAAGAAATTTGTTAAGTTAACTATTTGTAATAAATAAATATGTATTGTCTTCCTCAAAACAACTTTACTAATCATGTGTGTTAGCTAGAACTACCATTTGATGAAACATTTAACATGTACAATTACAACAAGGACTAGTTTGAAAAAAATGGATAAATATGAGAGACAAAGTAGATTGGGATCTTATATTTAGGATTAAATTAAAAATCAAATTAGTTCTTATATTAAGAACCGGAAGTAGTATCACTATAATAATGCCATGTGAAGTCTTATGAGAAACTTTATCACGATCATGCGTTGAGATAGAAATGTGAAATACAAGTTTGCTATGAATTTTGTCAAATCACAATCCAAGATTAACAACTTTACCACCTTATCCGAGAATTGAACAAAGACTTCAAGAGAACTGTTTAATCTGCGTCACAGTCCTTAATTGCGCTTGATGATAAATAATTCTCCCAAGTCCTTGTATCTTGAGTCTATAAGGAAGCTGAATCCTGATGCCAATTTCTTCTCAAACTGTGCAAAAATGTCATCCACAATCTCTTGCTCAAATTGTTCCTTGAAAACTCCTTCCTACACAGCTCTCAAGTGCATACTAGAACTACGAGCGTCTGGTTGATGCTTATCACTAAATAGACGAAATAGCAATTCTGATTTCTCAATTTCGAAATTCCCATTCTTCTTAATCATTTCCTTTAACTCTTCTGATGCTGGAATGTAGATGGAAATGTTGAATCAATCTACCAGTTCTTCACTTATTAAGCCCTTAATTCATTTTCAAAATAAGTTAATATGATCATTAATCATGTCAGAAACCTACAGACATGAATATAGAGAGCAAGTGTTTATTACTTACCTTATTAACCATCTCCACAAGAAGGTTGCCCATGATATTCACACAAGCTTCAAATTTGTTCAAGGAATTAGGTGGGACGCAGAGAATGATAAGAATCATGTAGGGGTGTTCAAATTATTCCGTTTAATAGGTCCGTCCCGATTAGGGGTGGAAATAGGCCAGGGGCTTGTGGCCTGGCTTGGCCTGACCTATTTAGATATCAAATCAGGCTCAGGCCTGATAGTAAGTTTGTTAGGCCTGTCAGGCAGTCTAGGCCTGTTATCTTTTTTTTTTTTTAGGTTAAAATTATAAATTGATAGGAGAGAATCTGCTATTCTGATTGATTAATTGAGAAAACTCCATCCACATAAACATGATATCTAAAGCCTATTGCATGCTTCATTTCATTTCCATTCTCTATAACAAAAATAATTGATGTATGTATAATAATACATATTTGAACAGAGAAAAAAAACATAAGTGCATTAAAAAATAAAAATAAAAGCATCATTCATTTATTTGATCCATGCTTTTCATATTAATCTCATATAGAATATATATATATATATATATATATAGAATTGACCTATTATATTTTAGACTGTATATATGTGTGCTCAATCTAATTCTTATTATAATAGTTACTTGATTAATTTAAATAAATAAATAAATTAGCATAACTGTAACATTTTTTTTTAAAACAACCATGTGTAACAAAAGGATCAAATATCATTTTGTTAGTAAATTAGTTTGAATAAATGATAAATTTAAAATATAAAAGGGATTAAGGATGTTTCATATTTTAAACTAGATCTAGTCATCAACTAATTTTTATACTAGATATGGGATGAAGTGATATTTTTATATCAGAGTGAAATTATGTTTTCTAATAATTTTTCATATTAGATTTTTTTTTGGGCATAATGGGACATGTTTTACAAATTATGTTAATTTGATAATTTCTTTTTTTTTTTTTGTATTTTAGATCAATTAGGTTGAATTATTGTAATTTTGAATTGATTTATGTGTGTTTAATTTGTTAAAAAAAACAGGCTTATTAACAAGTCATAGGCCAGGCCGGGTCTGATTACAGGCCAGACTCCGGTCGATTAAAAGGGCTTTCACAAGCTGCAGGCCAGACTCAGGCCAACAGGCCTTACCAC